ACGGTCTGAATGTATGCCTCTTTATACTTATTTGTCTTTATGATAGGTGTATTGTCTAAAAGTCTTAAATTAGTTGTGCCATTACTTCACTTTCAGTAAATTGCCATATTCTGATCTTTATGAAAAATTGCTTTCTGTCGTGTGCCTAGTAAAGACTCAAGCCACTTTTATCTACCAATTCATTAATATTGCCTATAGTACAATTTATTACTGTATAGGTCAGTAGGAAAAGCCCAGCAGCGGCTATTCTGAAGGTCAACAGTTTCTTCATTCCTTGTTTAGCCGTACTGGGGAGGCAGTAACGCTTGTCACAAAGAAGGATTGGAGAGTTGCGTCTGAGCTGATTGAAATTCTGGAAAGAGCAAACCAAGTAAGAATATATTTTACTGGGTAAGATTTATATTGGTTCTAGATTACCACTTGAAACTGCTCATGAAGATCTAAGCCTACTTAGAACTTTCTTGGTAAGTGTTTTGTAGGATCTTAGGCAAAAAACAGGTACCCAAGTCTCTCTTGTCCTGGATATCCTTAGCTGTACTTTACCTTATGGATGAGTCCCAGGAAAGAACCAGAAACTAATAAAAGCTTTCCGCATCCCAAGAAAAAGTAACTAATGTACACACACATAGAGGTCTGTAGGGGAATGATAGTATGTATTTTATTCCAGTATTTCACTTCTGGGTGCATGTACCAATGTTCTTTTAAAAAAGCCTAAATATTAATGATATTTGAATTGAAAGAAGCTCTACTCTCTTTCAGTTTGACGTCTGCATGTACTTTTCCAAGTTCTCTTTCTTAGAGATGTTTGTAAGTAGTATGGGAAATAGGACTGGAATGTTGGTGTTTCTTTAAAAGAAAGAAACTTTTTTTTTTTTCTTGCTACCATATCTGAGAAGCCATTTCTTGCTTTAAGAAAAAATGGTATTTTGCCTGAGTCGTGCCTTGACTTGTGCTGAAATCCTTTTATTTCCTTTTTTTTTTTTGAGTACAAGCTAAATTGCTTTTACCTAGGACCTGTAATTGTTACTGTGGACACTTAGTCAAACTTTAAAGCCTGAGTTAGAACTTCACTTATATCTCCTGTTTTACAACTCTTACTTGAAAAATGTTACGCCACTTACTGCAAACCTGATAGATGCTTTCGAGGAAGGAAGAGAATGGTGGGGGGGACAACCAACCAACCAAAAAGTTAACCCCTTGTCGTTTCTTAAAGCTGGGGGTTTGGTGAGGGGATGGGTAGTTGGTTGGTTTGGGAGGACGTTAGAAAGTACAACAGATGAAACCAATAATGATACTTACAAAGCCACTAAAATAGAACTTGGAGGTGTCTTCTTCTGTATTCTGAGTCAGCTGTTGCCAGCCATGCTTTGTCTCCTGCTACAGAAGGTTACATTCCCAAATTTTTTTTAGGTCTGATAGTTCAACTGGGAACAGGTCTGATTCCAGAGGTAAAAAGAGCGTCTCTGAATCCTTACTTTGAAGGGTAACTGTTACTCACAACATAGAACTGTAGAATGTTTTGGGTTGGAAGGGACCTTTAAAGGACATCTAGTCCAACCTCCCTGCAGGGAGCAGGGACATCTCGAACTAGATCAGGTTGCTCAGAGCCCCATCAAGCCTGACCTTGAATGTCTCCAGGGATGGGGCTCTACCACCTCTCTGGGCAACCTGTTACAGTGTCACACCACCCTCATTGAAAAAAAAACAACCCACTTGTGTCTAGTCTAAATCTGTCCTTTAGTTTAAAACCATTACCACTCGTCCTATAGCAACAGCCCCTGCCAAAAAGATTTTTCCTCATCTTTCCCATAGTCCTCCATTAAGTACTGGAAGGCCACTCTAAGGTCTGCCTAACTCTCTCAGGCTGTCGTCACAGGGGAGGTGCTCCAGTCATGTCATCAGAGATGATGCTATAAGCAACATATGTAATTGGAAATCTGGGGATGCTGAGGTGATTATTTTTCAGAATATTTCAGTGGCATTTTACAGAGAAAAGATTTCTCTGTGCACCTCTACAGAAAAGACAATCTGCAGGTTTGATCCCTATTTGGTCCCCATGTGTTGCCTGATCTAGTTGAGAGGAGGTGTCCCTCCCCATGACAGGGATGTTGGATTAAATGATCTCTAAGGTCCCTTCCAGGCTAGGCCGTTCTATGATTCTGTAAAAATTACAGGAGCCAGATAGATAACAAAATCCAAGTTTGGGAACATGTGAATCAATAGTATTTTTGTAAAGCAGAACCTAAAATTTTAGCATTTTTAAAACTGATCTTGCTCTTATGCTGCTTTCTTATCAGGTAGTTCCTAATGAGCTTATTGAAATGGCAGAAAGATACAAACAATTTCAAATAAGAAAAGAAACTGAAAAAGGCATAAGAGGACCTCGGAGAACTCCCCTACAATAACTGTAATCCCTTGAAGTTACTGAAACAAAGTAAGCGATTAGAATTAGTGTCATTATCTATGGGCTTAAATTCAGAAGTTTCTGTTGTTGGTTGATTGTTTTCTATACGTGTCCCATTTAAAAAAAATGTGTTTTTAAAAGTAGCTTAGAAAACTGGGTTAACTTTATATAGAACTATATTGCACTTGGATGCTACTTCCCATGTAGGAAACTTAATTATTTGTCTTGTGTGATATGCATAACTGTTAAAGCCATTACCTGCTGGTTAAAAACATATATCATGGGTTTGTTTGGTGTTAGTTTTTCATTGAGGTTTGGGTTTGGTTGTTTGTTTTTTTTTAAATTAAATGCAGTATTAATATGTAAGAATGTAACAGATAACTTTTCCTTTTACTTTCAGAGAACTGGATTAGTCAATGTAAGCAATGTTTGTCAGTGTGACTTCAAAATCCTGTACTTTTGCATGGGTATGCCACATCTGTCTTGGGCATGCAAAAGTATTTCCAAGGATGACTTAGTAATCTGAAAACTGCTTTGTTTGCAGGAACTGATGTTTGCCTGAAGCAAGTTTTGGGGTATTTTTCATTTTAAAACTTAACATTGAAAGTCATTTTTGTTAAGATTGGTGCCTCAAGCTTTTTTTGAGAGAAGTCTGCGTTTCATTCTAATAGAAAAGAGCATAACAAGAATTAAAGAAAAAAACAATCTTCTGTTCTTGTTCTTATGGATGTAATTTTCTAGCTTAAGGAGGAGAAACAGAGTTTAATAGAGCAAAGTAATGAAATAAAAAAAACCACTTATTTCAGATAAAGTTGATTCATCTTTTACATTTGGATGTCAGGTTTCTGTCACACGGACTGGTAATGATAATGGGATATGTTTTAACTCTTGAAGTTACATGGGACAGAGCAATTCCTTCATTTGATGCTTGGTCTGAACTTGTGTTTACTTGTGTCATCTGAGTAAATGAAAAGCTAATAAATAAACTGAATCTAGTGACATGAGAATGTTTTCCCAAAATTATTCTCTAAACGTTCTAGCCTTCCTTTCTTTTTTTTTATTTGCTCATAACTGAGGTGAAATCTAGGCATTATTTAAACCAGTAGGGTTTTTTGACTTCAGGAAGTAGGCTCAAAATACAGACTTCCTGTGGCTTCTTTAAGAAAAAGCAAAAGATTTATTTAGTAACAGCACAGTAGCTCCCAAATGCTGTGTACTTATGACTCACACAATTTTAGTAATAGGAAATAGTATAATTTTTTCTAACACACATACTCTTCAACATAAGAAAAATCTGAGCTGAAATCCACTTTTGAGAATGTCAGATTCATGCTGCATTTTGGTTTTGATAACCTTTCATATGGAGACTTTTCCTCCGTGATACGGGTTGAAGGTAATATTTCTTCACACTTCTGAAGATATGATTCATCACACAAATGCACATTGGCATAATAACTTCTACTCTGTTGCAGCACATTGGATAACGATTGCTTCCCATCGAAAGTCCAGTAAAAAGACTGATTTACAAAGCAATTCTTAAGACTCGGAGAAGTTACTTCATATTGTTCTAATACTCTGTTCTCTCAGTTCACTGCCAAAAGTCTTCATGTACCCAGCTGATCTGGAGAAACTGTTCTGGTTTCCATCAAAATAACTCCAGTGACTTTTTCTTTTTCTTTTGGAAGCAAGAATGTATTTTGGATATCCTGCAGCAGATCTTAAATAAAATTGTCAGGTTTTTTTCTGTACTGTTTTACTCTTGATGCCTTTATATTTGGAACCACAGAAATTATTATGTGGGAAATTAATATTGCAAATTCTTCTATATGTCCTTAATATACCTTAAAGATACTTTGCAGGTGACATCTGATTGTGTGTTAGGTCTGGGCCAGCCACTAAATACTGACAGATGCTCTCTAACCCCCTCTTTCCCCCCTCAAATGGGAAGGAAAAGGGAATGAGGCAGAGAGACTTACAGATTTGGAAGAAGAGGCCTAAACCTTCGTGATCACTCAGTTTATACTGAATATAACGTAGATGGAATGGAATACTCCTGTTGGTCACCTGTCCTGTCTATCACTCCCTGGAGGTGCAACCTTTTACTTCCTTGTGACCCCTCTCACTACCCGGCACCCCCAGCGTGGCACACAAGAGCCAGCAGTGGCCTTGGTCACTACAGGAATAAGCATCATTAAGAGCCTTTCTGCATCCCAGTCCCAGGCAGTGACTGTAAACATCAGGGGTTATCACTGCCAGAGGCACACACTGTCTGCAAAAACATGCTGCGAACTTCAGAAAGTGCAGCCTTTTGGAAGAGACTTAGCTGAGAAGGAAAAGTCAGTAAACAGAATTGGTTTTCTTTAGCTCAGATCAGGACATATCTATATTTGGATAGGGAAGATAAATACGACTTAAACCATCCTACTTATTTTAAGGGTTCTTTGAAGCATGATTGAAGTATGCAATTTTCTCTTAGTATTCTTAATTTTTATTTGGTTTTTGTAGCATCAAGCTACTGCAGAGTAACTTAAGGTGCAGAACTTCTACTTTTAAATACACGAGTTACACAATTGCACAGTTATTGTAAACAGTGATTTTAAGGCGTCTCCTCAAATATCGGGAATCCGTTGTTCCATTGATAATTTATTTGTCTTGAAAGGAAATTACTGCTTGTTCTGTCTACCAGGCTGAGCAGGTTGTATTGAGGAATAAAAAAGTGTGGCAGCTGAGACTGTTGCAGGCAATTCAGAAAATAGGTCAGGTATCTCTGAAAGCAGTCCTCCAGGTTTCCCAAACTCCAGTCCGCGTCATTTGGATACTTGACACACATGTGGAAAAAGGCAGTTTTGACAAGATACGAATAGAATTTTTCCAACTCTTTTTTATGTTTCATTTTAAGTCGCTCTAGAAGATACTTCATAAGTTTGAGGCAACCTTTCCTGTGAAACAAATAAGAATTTATTAGGTACCTTCTACATAGTTCTAAACAGGCACTTTAGATATTTAAATACACATTCACAAAGGCAATAAAAACGTTCTTACTCTAACAGTAACATTTTCAGTAACATTTTGAATAAAGTGTGAAAAGGGCAGCGACAGGCTAGATAGCCCTGGAACTACTGTGTATGAAGTCAGATTCGAGCAGTCAAGAATTTTTACTTTAAACAGGGGGGTTTGTGCGTGCGCCACTTTCACCGACAGCCGCAGCAATGCAGAACTGCCAAGTGTTGGTCAGCAGTGCACTTACACGGTACAGGCTTCCAGCTGCAGATGCTGCCGGTATCGCATGAAAAAGTAAAGACAGTTGTGCATTAATTCCCTTGAGGCTTTCTTGATTCCATACAAGATGTAATAAAGCAAACCAAGAAGTTGGTCTGCCATTAAGGAAGTTCTGTATCTTATGTGGGTTTTGTTCTTTCTCTTCGAAGAACTGCAGAAAACAATTTTTGTTGGAGTGTAAAATCACATTTACTCATCCTGATCCCGTTCCATTCTTTTCTCAACATCATTTCAGAAATTGCCTTGGTATGAAGTGTAATTTTGCTCCCAAAGCTTGGAAAGCTTTTAAGCTGGTTCTTCCAAACAGGACAGAGCTTGGGAAAGATTATTTAACAAGTCGCATCTTTTTACTTTCTAAGGCGAGTCTGGGGTGTAAACCTGCAACGTGATTTGTTTCGGCCTCTCACTGAGTAAATGCAAGTCAGATATTGAGCGAGTACATGCAGTGTTATACTGCTGTAGAACAGGGATGCCTAAAACATGATTCTTGCTCCCTGTAATGAGTAAATAGTCTCAGATCAGATTCTTAAATGTTAAGCTGAAACAGTGCTTAGAGAGTGCTAGACTGCCTCACACAGGCTTAAAGTAAAATATTCATATGAGATACCAACCTACAGCACTTTGGTCCATCAGCTTCACAACATGTCTTTGAGCTGCCGTGGTTGTTCATCATGGCCTTCTCAATATGTGAGAAAGAAATTCGCCAGGTGTTTCCTAAAGTTGAGTGCAAAATTGTTAATTGTTACACAGCGGTAACTACTGCTGTCTGTAACTAGGGTGGAAAAAAACCAAAATAACACTTTATAATTTACTTAATTTTAAATATCAGCAATTTCTGTGAACTTCAAAATATTGTAATCCAGTAACTATAATTAGGTAATTCCTCCTGAATTCCCCAGCTGGTCCACACAAAGACAATTAGAATACTATTAATATAGGACATCGTTAATTATTTGGATGTTTTAATTACATTCTTAAGGATTGGTTTACCTCAAAATTAAGCTTAATTCTCAACTTCTCTGCATCTGTTGAACATGATCTGGGGAACTGCCCTGCGCACAGAGATCTTCTACCTTTGAATTTATTTTCTATATTATTAGCCTTACTGCATAACCATTCCGGTTTCAAATTTAAAAAAAAAAAATAAAGCCTTCGCCATTGTTTTCTTGTGCAAGCATTAGTCTTGCATGTTTGTCCTGGGTAAGGTGACTGTTCCAAAGCATTTAGTTTTGCTCTTCTGGGAATGTTTCTGGAAACGATTAATACAGCTCAACCCTCTGGTTGAGGGGCTTTGTCTTCCTTAATTTAGACTGTTGCCCTTGCCTGTTTGGCTCCCTTACACTTTGCATTTAACTCTACTAGCCCAGTAGAGCAGTAGCAGTTAATTTGGCATTGTTAAGACAGGCATAATTAAATACAACAATGCAATGACAAGTTGAGATGTTTCTGCAAACTAACATGGGCTTGGTGTGACCACGGTCTGGAGAAAAAAGAAGTTGTACCTGTACCAGAGCTCAATGAGAAATAACACACCTTGTCAGAAAAGTACAGTTTACTTCCTGTAGAAGTATGTAACTTGTATATGCAGTCTCACTCACAGGGATGTTCCTGCCTTTTTAGAAAACTCCCTTTCAGGGGTTTTGTTGTGTTTTTTTTATTCTTACAAAACAAAGGAGTAGATGTTGCTGTTAAGCACAGCACTAGCACAGGAAAGGTCCATATTGATGTTATATTAAGTCTTAGTAGATTTAATATAATGCTCTTAGGAGTGGTTAATATACAGACTGGCAGAGCAGTTTTGTCTTTAGATTTCACTATAGGACAAGCAGTGTCATAGATCTGATGTTTTAAAGAGGGATTTCAGTTGTCTTTGATCTGCACATCAGAGGCAGAATATTGAACTGAACCTGGATACCCTTTTTATAGCACTTTTAAGTGATCAAATTGCAGGCAAGATACTGTATAACTTAGACTTATTGTCTGTATCTGAGGTACCTCTTGGAACCTTTTCTTTTTTGTTTTGTTTGGCTACTAGGTAAAGTGGTTTATATCTGAACTCTCCCCTGACTTTTCGTCCAAGCCACGGCTCAATTTTGAGGCCATCCTGTGTGCTCCGTGGCCAGCTCTGCTGAACTTCCAAAGTCAAGATGATGTCCACTGATATGTCTGCTGGAGGGTTTCGGATATGAAGAGTTATTGCAGGGCTTCCAGCCTTTTTCCTTTCCACAGTTACTTCCACATCTAGTAACAAAGGAGAAATTGATTTATAGATGGATACATTGGAATTTTTTATTTTTTTAAGAATGTTGAGGTTCTTACTTAAAGAGGAATTGACAGTTAGTCAAAAGAAATACCTGGGTTCAGTCACTGGTTCTTTATCCTACAGGATAAGAATTTTAAATAAAACATTAAGGTTGCCTGTTGAGAAGTTCTACAAAATAAGGAATACTCTTCTTGGACTGCTGTGTTTGCTTGATTTACTATGTCTACAGAATCAGAATTACAGTAATTGTTTTCCAGTGAGATGCTTCACTATTGAAAACACAAGACGGAAGAGATTTGGCCATGCTGTTTCTGAAGGCTGTGGAGAAAAAGCACATCCTAAAAGAGAATACATTTTCTATATAGATCAGTATAAAACATTAGGCAGTGTAAAACAGAAAGCTCTGCCTTTTGCTACCAGTTCAGCAAATGGCAGGTAGATTCAAAAATATATGGGTCACGTAGGAAGTACCAACATGCAACGGAACCCTCGATATTCATTATTTTTATATGGGAAGAGGATTGCACAGTGGAGCAATGGGTTAATCACATATGATTAGCTCTGATGTGTTTGTGTCTTAGCACAAGAGCAATCTTGAGATACCAGCAACAGGAGGGGTTACAGCTATAGCTCCCTTGCCACGAAGACACAGTTCACTGGAGAGAAAGAAAAATTACATTTTATTAACAGCAAAGCAATGCACATGTGCAACATAACTAGATTTTTAGCACTCCCAGGCGAAGTTTGTTCTCTCAGTACTTACTTCTAATGTTCCTTACTTCTCGTTTTATAATGTCTCTTAGTGCATCAATCATTTTAAAGGCTGATAACTTTTGATCTTCATCTAAGAACTTCAACAAATAGTTTTCTCTTGGTTTTCTTTTGAATGTTAGATAAAAATAAGCTCCAGTGTCATCACATTCATCCAGCTGAAGTCTTTGAACAGGCATTACAAGCATGATGTCAAATTCATTTGGTTCAGATATCTGCAAAGTACGAGCATACGAGTCAGTGTGCAACTTGGGTTTTACTCTCCAGGCTTTTATACCAGTTGTGGTTTTATCTAAAAATGCTTTGGTGTACTTCTCACATCTAGTGTGTAATATAAACTTATTTCTGCGGATCTGTATTACAAGACTGCTGTGCATTCGAGAGAAGAGCAATTTACTGATAGCAATTCATTTCCCAGCTTTCCCAACTTATTTATATTTCAGAGAGTTTTAAGATTCTTCAGCTGTTCTGAATAATGCATGAATGCTGATCTTAGTCATCCTTTTGCACACAGGAATCAATTGTGAGGGGAAAAAAAATGGCACTGCTATGCCTGAAGCATAAAAATAAAAAGAAATAAAAATAAATAAATAAAACAGCATCCTAGAATCACAGAGTAGTTTGGGTTGGAAGGGATGTTATAGATTATCTAGTCCAGCCCCTCTGCCATGGGCAGGGACACCTCCCACCAGACCAGGCTGCTCAAAGCCCCATCCAGCCTGGCCTTGAACACTTCCAGGGAGGGGGCATCCACAGCTTCTTTAGGCAACTTGTTCCAGTGTCTCACCACCCTCACAGGAATTAATTTCTTCCTAATATCTAACCTAAATCTACCCTCTTTCAGTTTGAAACTGTTACCCCTTGTCCCATCACTACACTCCATGATGAATCACAGAATCACAGAATGTTCGGGGT